AGTGAATCAGTACATTTTTTAGATTCGAAGTCGAGAAATGCGATTTCTGGTTACACTTGATTATACCACGAAATTTTCGTATGTTCGTAGTACGAAGACATTGTCACACAAAATGTTTGCCATTTGGTTTTTTCAGCCTTTCGCTGCTGGATTTATAGTTCTTCTATCGATTATTTCTACGACATCGTTTAATAAGCCTTGTCTGTAAAAAAAAAATACATAGGATTTTATGGCACTTGAATGATAACAATGACAACAATACCGCAAAGTAGTACATGTCGTTTATTCTCTCTCCTGTCATCTATAGCAGTTTTTTCTATATTTTTATTTATGTTTTACTATGCTTTCTATGCTATGGTACTAGACATTCGTTCGTTATTTCAATACATTTTGCACGAGGTGATGCTATGAATTTGCTCCGTACAATCACATTGAATGCGCTTCGACCGAAGAACAGATATAAACAATAAAACTACATCGAGATTAGAAAGAACACGGATTCCAGTACATAGCGGCCACAAAAACGACTAAATGTTCCATATATGTGTACGCAATACGATATATAACGATCGGGTAAAAATTTATTGAAAAATAAAGACAACAATGGAGAGAGAGAAAGGAACATTTACTACGATTGGATGCATGTAGCGCGTATCGTTTCTTCTATTTTTCCTCAAGAATCCGCACATCAAGACAAAAACAAAATAAAAATCAACAAGATTTATAGTGCAATAATATCTATACAACTCGACAAGAGCCGGACCGACATAGAAAAAGGAAAAGACTTTACTGTATGAACGCTACTAAATTCTTTCCGATAAAAGACAATTTAAACATCTTGCTTACAACGAAAGCGCGCTCATTCAACACATAAAAAGAAACTCATAGAGATTTGGATGTGCGGATATGTGTATTGGGTTGCTTGGCTTTTCTTCGTTTTCACATTCCATGGGATAAATGTGCCATAAATTAACATATCATATTTGCCCGTTTAAGCCCATTGTATGTATTGCTCTTATTACCTTATTTTGGTCAAGTTTGAACGTCGCTTTGGCCAGAATCCGATTACGGGATTCGATCGAGCTATAAGTAAACTTATATAGACCCATTCTCAATTGCATACCCATGACATCTTTTGCACAAATTGATCAGAAACTGTCCGAGAGCCTAATGAATTTCCGGTCTTCGATCAGAAAAAGCCATTAAAAACTTATTACATCTTTGTTTATTTGTGAATTGACCATTTATTTACCAGATTTTGATTGCCATTGTTTCTAGTCTACTGAGAACTGATGTTCATCATGGTGAATATTTTCTGTAAACGTATAACTTAAGTGGTTGTAAGTACCGGAACGCAACAAACAAACAAATTGTTCCGAAATTATGAGACAACACCAAACAATGAGTTTTCTATCGAATCAAAAGATAGCCATTTTCAGACTTTCCGAATGGATATTCGGCCGAAAGCGAAAATAATATCACATACCAATGGATATAATGTTTATAATACCGTGCACCGAATGTATAAAACATGAAGCACTAGATTAACGACAATAATACAATCGCCGATAAATTCTTTGGATCAGCTGTGTTTGAAGAATATATTTCAGTTCGAATGCTTTTATTTCGGTTTTATGGTTATGGGTCACTAATGTAAATCTTCATTTCTTATATACGTAAAAACGATGACCTAGCATAAATCCCAAGCGGACAAAATTCGGCACACATTTTACATTCAAATAAAGCATTCAAGACCTTAAAAAATCCCAAAAATAAATATAAGCTTTGGATAAGCTATCAATTTCAATATTCAAAGTTTATCATAAGGCTTAAAAAATATTTTTTTAATTATTTTTGTTTAAATTAGTTATTTATTAGCTTCATGACTCATAATTGGAGAGAGTAAACTTTCGTTGATGTGTGAACATTTTTTTGGCTTGGAATCGGGGAAGAACTCGAGAATGTCAAAAAAATCATTCACTCTAGTTTTGAGGAGTTTTGGTCGATTTTGCTACTTCAACTTGAATAGGTATCATAATATTGTTGTTTCAAGAGTGAACGCTATCTATAGTTAAAAAATGAAAGCCTAGCCATTTATTTCAAAGTTCCAGATTTTGGAGAAAATTGGATCGATTTTCAAACTTCAATGTTTTCCAACGATACATCAATCGCAGCGGAAGGTCTTTCAGTGTGAGTTTTTTTGATTTCTATGCATAATTGCATATAGTGAACTTTTCACCACGCAAGGTTGGTTTCGTAACTCGCTTTAACTGCCGTCTAAAAATCCATATGATAAAATTGGGGACAATTGAAGATTTTCTAAGCCAAAACTCTCGAAATCAAAGTTGACTCTGAAGCAATGTAAATCGAAAAAATAATAAAAGGGCCTGTCCTAAAATAGACAGAACGTATAAAAATGTAAAATGAATTATACAAATTATCTGCTCAGTCAACAGATTTTCAATGTATATATACATTCGAATAAAGAATGAGAAACAAATTGAAATGAAAAAAAGCTATTGCATTTATTCAATTTACGTGCACAATTTGATTCGTGCGTTTGCATCTGTTACCATATAAATAAATATGTGGAAATATCTCCTAACGAGCGAATATATACTGACTCATGAATGTTTTTACATTTTGTCAACACAGTTCAGCATTAATAGTAATAATAATAACAAAATTTTACGCAAATAGAGAAACGTAAATCGTTGTAGGGTCAGTGGTCAAGAAAATTATATTCGCAAAATATTGCAGAAATCACACATCAGCACAAAAAAAAGATGGATACACGTAAATCCGTAAATCGCATTCCGAACAAAGTCTTTGAAAATGAAATCGGACAGCAAAGAAATAACCTAAACGATATGAAACTTTTGGATTGAAAGCATTCAGCTGGGATCGACGAAAATCAGCTATCGCAAATAAAATTGTCTGCTCGCATAACCAGCATTTGGTCGGGCTGTTCCATAAAAATAACCAACACCCATGATATTGAATATTACGAGTTGGTGATGGTGATGATTCTTTCCTTTTTCTCCACTCATTCATCGTCCCATATAGCAAGTATAATATTGAAGCGAATCTGTGATTATTGTGCTCCTGCAAAAATTTCATATCAAAATATTTGTGTATGCAATCTTTGCACATAGAACCATTTCATCCAGTTTGCTCTGCTCGATATACATATACATAGAGAAAATCTGTTGCACACAATTTAAGCGCTTATTGAACGTAATACGAACATTTTCTATGAATGGTTTCCAAGAGTGATGGTGACACGTTGCGACGATTTCGACCATTTAGCTAGATTGCAACGTAGAATGACTATGTAGTGACCGCTCACCCTATTCGTTTGCTATTGCTGACTGAGTAAGAAAAGCAAAAAAGATTATATCCGATTGAATGCACAACAAATTGCACAGTCCAGTCAATTTATTTATACATGATAATCGATGCATACATGCAGGCAATCACATCGTATCCACACCACCATGCAAATTCTTGAAACTGCATTTATTCCATAATGCATCGCCCAATTACTCACACAAACACAAATAAAATATCAACGTATGAGTATTTTTCATGTGAATTTTGCTATATTTTTGTAACAACCAAGAAAAACGATAACGAGAACATCACTGAAATACAAATTATCTTCAAGGACCAACTATGCTAATATAACTGCAGATTATATTGAATCTGCATTTCAATCAATTTTCGTATTTGATTGGGTAATTCAGATTTTTTTTTTGCTATTTGTTTTGAACATTAGCTTTGTCAGACAAAATGTTGATCCAGACCAGTTCAGTTCAGATTTCTCATTCCATATAAACATTTTGGAGTCTTGTTTCAATCTAAACTAAACTAAATTTTGTCTCCATCACTCAGATAGAAGCGTGCTTCAAAATTTTACATTGATAAATTGCTTGTATTAAATATAAAATTCACGCCAGATTGTGTTTGCTGTACTTACGTTTTGGTAACAAAATTTTATAAAAACAATTTTGGGATAAAACACTTGTATCGATTTGTAGTTTTAAATGTAACATTTGTGTGTGCCATCTATGTCTGTTGAGACAAATTCCGAACAAACATTTTGATACTTACATTTTAAATGCGGCAGCTAAAATCATTCGAATCTGATGTAAATCAAGTGAATTCAAGACAGGAAAAGTCGGTGCGAATATTTTAAATGTTGTAAGAACTCCAAACCTATAAAATTGTAAATCTTGAAACTGCAAGCACATTTGTAGCTGTTCTTTGTCTTTTTTGTGTGTGAGCATGTTCTGCTGCGCAATGTGTACACAATGATTGTATGCTTTTAGAATTTGGTTCAGTTTTTCTTCACAAATGACTTTCACTTCACATTCTACAAAAAAAAAAAAAACTTTGAATAGGAAAATGCTCAACGCAAAATGTGCTTAAAATCCAACCAAACCAAAGTCAACGAAATGTTGAAACATAGTAAATGTGTGTTCTTGTGTCAAGAAACTAAGAAAACTTTCATTAACAGCTGTATCTTTAATGAGGTTTTTCCACGCGTACGCGGTGCATTATCGCTGCACTAATTCGAAACTTGTACGTATAAAATATAACGCCAGTTACCCGGAATGGTTTTTACCAGCATCAGAACGATGTAATTGAATAGCATTGTGTAAATGAACTCAAACACCAGAAGTTTTCACTTAAAGTATTCACCAACCAGAAAGTAGGGAGATAACTTAGATTCGCGCTTTTAACCTAGAATAAAACTTTATCCTCAAAATTCATTTTGAAACTGAATGACTTACTGGGAAAGTGCAACGATGCGCATTTTCTAAGTGAATGTTAGAGTATTTATGTTCCACAAAATAAGAATAAAATTAAAAAATTACGATTAATTTGGTGATTTGAGATGGCATTTCAACATCACTGCAACCTTTTAAATTTAAAAAAATGTACACATAGACGTTTTTTTTTTTTAAATCAATTCATTTATTTTTGTTTATGATTTTAAATTTTTCTTTTCCATCGCATATTCTGGTGTTTACCTCTTAATGTTCGACCAAATATAATTATTATTCCATATTCATATATTATTCAAATAATTGTATTTTATATTTTTTTGTTTATAAACATTTAGATTTTATTATTATTGTTTACAGCATTGGTTGTGATGGAATTTTCTAAAAGAATGCATTTCATTCAATGTATTTCCCTAAAACGCTTCAATCACTAAACTATGAAAATATAAATGAAAAGTGAGTGTGTTTTCAATTGTATGAGGGGGTATGGTGTTTCAATTGGATGGAATGATGAAATGCCCCCACATTTTATCCACAGAAACGTCCACTTTAAAACGCCAGTTAGATGAAAAGTAGTCGCGTTTTTCATTGATACCAATTTGAATAACAACGCCACACAACAAATATCGTTGCAAAGAATGCTGCGGTGAATAAATTAAACTTCATTGGTCTCGAATTCAATTTTATTATTGAATAACGCAATTGCAAATGCAAAAGCAAAATACGTTTAGCTAAGCAAAATCAGTTGTTTATTTTAGTGAACGTGAACTATTGTTAATATTGTATATTAAAATGGCCTGAAATTCTATATTCCGCGGTGGTAAGCTATTTCATTGAACATTTGAATACACATTTTTCAGTGGCTTGATATTTGCGGTCAAAAATATTTTCATTGTCGTGTTTATTATAAACATTTAGTAACATGGCACGATTAGAGAAAATGTCCAATACAATAAAATATCAATTCTTTGCTTGAAAATCAAATATTGTTTAAAAATGTTTTACTTTTTATCTGTTATGTTGCATGTTTTTGGATGGTAAATTTGAAAAAAATTCCTTGTGGAAAACAAAGTGTGCAAATGTAACGGCGTGATCAAATGAAAATTGATGACATGTTTGATATTGATTTATAGCATATATATGAATGTTTTTGTGTGTGAGTGTGTAAAAGCCGACGGATTTTTATTTTATTTACAACGATAGAGAATAAATTTAATAAAAAGCACCGTATTGAAACTTAAAGAAAAACTGACACAACTGCATATAGATTATATCGGTAAGCTGATCCCATTGAAAAACAACATTTATGTCTAGACAAAGATTGTGCAATATACACATAGACTTCTTTAATAAAGAATCATTATGTGTGCTATTTTATTTATTAGAATACGAAAATTGTTGAATTTCGGTTCAACATAAGAACATGAGAAAAGAACCGATTTGATTGATTCAGAATACACACGGATCGACTTTAGGTTCGGACAATTTGTGTCATTTATCATTGATTGATGTATATTCATATATCTTTCTTATGCCACTGGCATGAGATACAGATAAATCGTTCACAGTTTATTTTACTGAATTTTCCAATGCACACGAAAAAAATGAATTGATAGAGAAATTCAATATGCGCTCATCATTGCATTATTCCATTTTGTTTTTCTTGGAGATTGACTTGAAATATTTCATTCAATATATTATATGTTATAACATTTATTTCATTCAGTATACGTTTTTCTGAAATTCAGTTCAAAGTGTTTGTTTCAATCGCTAAAAATTTTACAATTAGATGCGTTCTTTTCTTTTATTTACATTCAGATCGACTAAAAATAAAGACATGCATTTGCACACTGGCATTTTATTTGATTTTCAATTTTTATTTTCCATTTTAATATAGGTATCTACTTATATCTAGTGTTAGTGTTTAATTTTAATGTTTTCCATTTTGTAGCTATTACATTTTTGCGCTTCTAGGCTGTTAAAATATGTATTTTGAATGAACTCACATGCATCGCTGCGCAATCTGTCAATTAGCGCTTCAATAACTTATCTATACGAATTTTACGAATAGGCCATATCTATCATCACGTTAATCACACTCATAATGCGTATGTATCCTAATTATTCAGCGCGCCAATAATAAATAAATGACATGTTGCAATTTTGCTCGCTCTCTGCTCTCGTCGACTTTTTTTTAACCATTACAACTTTCTCATGTTCAGCTATAATTATTTTTCCGATCTAAACTGGGTAAAGGGGTGAAACAAAAACAAAATACAAAACATAAAACTTTAATACCTTTTTATGGATTTTTTTTGCGTGATTGCATTGCGTTCTACTGAATATGCAAATACATATGAAGCAGCGAATAAACTAAGGTTTTTTTTGTGTCTTGTTCACTTTATGTTTCTTCAAATGAGAACAGTTGATTGCACTTACCATTGTTCAAACCGGCTTTATTAACGCTATTGTTACTTGAAAATCCCGGCAATTTTCTCCAACTTTTTCTACTCCAAAAACCACCTCTACTTGCTGTCGCCACGCCATTCACAACTACTTTACCATCTTTATAAGTGGCATTTGGTCCAGGATCTTCAGCCGAACGAAATCGATTTGCTTTTGCAAGTGTATGGGCACCATGGGTACTACCATTTATAATGCCATTTCCATACAGTGGTGATGACCGTGTGGAAATCATTAGTATACCAGGGTCTTCGTTTGATCTTTGTGATGAACGACAACTACTTGCACTGCTGTGCCCATTTGGTGTTGACGATCGTATTGGCAAACCATTTTTATAACGTAAACTACCCAAATAGCTTGCACCTCCACTGCTAGAGCTACCACTAAAGCCACTATCAATATCACCCGTGTTATTATTGTTGGCTGCATTAATGCTGACCGGCGACAAAAGTTCGTCGGTTGGACCAACAACATTTAATAATTCATTTAAACGTGTCGTTGATGCGGTTGTTTCAGATTCTTGCGTTTCGGCCTGTGCTATGGGACTTTCACTCGGTGGAGTTGAAGGCATTAGCATCGCTTCAACTGATAAATTTAATTCACCTAAAATTCGACGATGTCGATTTTGAACACGACGAAACTCCTCTTCAACTGAGCTAGTTTGATGCAATGACATCATTGAATGTCCACCAGACAGCAATCGTAGTCTTTCTTCACTGGAAATTTCTTCATAAATATTTTCTTGAGTTCCGTACCGTGTCGTGTACATATGACGCATTGTTGGTGACATTTTGAAAGCATTTCGATTCGCCGTCATCATTAAAGCGCGCATTGAATTTGGTGGTGGTGGTTTTGATGGTCCAGCAGCGCCTAATGGATGATTCGTCTCAAAATCATATCGTGACCGGGGCGACTCATCAATCTGTTGATAAAGATGATCGGCAGTGGAATTATTGTGCTTTGATGTCGACGGGCTTGGATGAAATCGTTCCATTGTTGCTGAAATATTCGTTCGAACCCATTTCACCTAAATGATATGAAAATGAGCATTTAAAATTAATGGCATTTAATAAATTCAAATTTTAGTGCAGAGTGTCATCAACAATTTTCTAATTTGAATAAAAGGTTTCATTTTCAATTTACTTAAAACGAAAAGAAAAAAAATGACAAAAGAGATTTTCTCAAGACGGTTAATCATTCACAGAAATGGATACAAAAAAACGTCATAATCATTTTAAGAAAAAGCAAAAACATTTCAGTGAAGTCTGCATCTCACTCGATTTTCGTTGCATTTGCAAAGAATTTTACGCAAATGAGAATGGATTTAAATTAAAAGCAGTGAAAGATTAATGTAAGTGAGCAATGCGCTCGTTAAATGATAGAGTTTTTGTGCAGTGAATGTAAAGCAATGCGAGTGAACTGATGATCTTGTTCAATGGCAAAAACAAAATCAAATGAAAAACCCTTCTTTCTAATTTCAGTTGCGAAAAGATTTATGATTCTTTCTGAAATAGTTATGTATACATATACAAGTTTGAAAATCTTCATAAAACTCACCTGCGGTTCAGCGTTAGTATGGAGTTTCGCTTCTCGTGCAAAGCTGGCTGCACTACCACCGAATGGAATTAAATTTTGTTCGAATAACTCCACAACGTTAATGTTTTGGTTGCTGTTATCCGAACGAACGGCATCGCCACCGTGATTCATTTTATTTTTGCTACTTTTCGATAATGAAGTGAGCGTTTTATGTGAAAAGCATTTCTCCTGTTCCGTTGAAAAGATTTCAATGCTATCGAAATCGCTTGTGTTTGTTTGCAGCGGATATCGCATTTGGGACTGTGGCATTTTCATTTTATGCATGACTACGGAGCTATTACTAGAACTACTGGTGCTGCTGAAACTATTATTTGCACTGTGGCTGTTGCTTGTCGGATTCGAGCCATTGTGTCGGTATTGGCTGCAAATTTCATTTCCATCAGTTGTATAACCACAATCTCTATCTAAGCTTCCAACACGGCGCCGACTGCCGCTCATATCGGTTTTACCGTTTTCGTAATAGTAATAACGACTTCGTTGTGGAGTTTGTGTTCGTGCTGTTGGCGGTGGATAGTCGGGTGGCGGTGGAAAGTGTGGCATTGGTGAAAGATTCAGTGTAGCTGCTGTTGCGTCCATTTTTCTAGATTCATGCTCATCACAATCGTTTACATAGCTGTCGTCAGCATCGAAATCGTCCTCACAACCGCTGCTACTGTCACTGGTATTTTTGTTATTATCGCGATACTCATAATTGGGAATTTTTCGCAACATATTAAAACATTTAAAAAAAGACGTTATTCGATTCAATTATCAAGTTCCATTCACTTTGCGCAAGAATTCTCCTTCTTTGTTTGTTCAATGGCGTTTTTCAGTGTATAGTTTTTGTCGGACAAAATACGTCAACGTAAACTGATTCTGAAAAGAAAAAAAGATAAAAAGAAAAACATTAGAAAAAATGTTTATCGATTAAGAGAGAATTGCGTTTCATTTATTATATGCAAAAGAAACGAAGCAAAAAAAGGGGAGAAAATTTAAATGAATTTTATCTTCGTAAATCGATCAAACATTGAATCTATTTAATTTAAATGAGAAATGATTCCAATGAATGCCAATGAGTATTGAGGTCCATTTGAATCGAACCTCTTTAGTCGGCCATTGACAAAGAATTTGCCGCTACCACATTTTTCTTTGGAATTTTTTCATTTCTTTAGAAATTATTTCAAGTATGCATAAATAAATTGACGATACGTAGTGTTGCGGTTATTTTTTTTAATCAAATGACCTAAGATCAAGAAAAGATGCTTAAGATAATGCTCAACGCTCCATTATTCAATTGCTCTAGGAAGATAATAAAAATGGAAGGCCATGTTTTCAATTTTGTTCAAGCAATTACTATTTTTAAAATATGTTTGCCGAATGAAGGTGGAAATAAAGTCAATATTTTCTTTCATTTGTTGTAGTTATCAGCAATCGCAAAATCTATATCAATATCCACAAGAACAATATATTATACAATGTGCATGCAATTTATTTAATGTAATTCAACTACCGATTTGACAAATATAAGAAATATGTCTTGTCAATTCGCTTGAATTTATTCTATTCGCCGGAACGATTGTATGCAACTTGAACATGAGTTATATAAACGATAGACTGGAATGGATAGGTGAATTCTACGAAAACACATTGAACTAAATGAGTGAGAAAAATGCATTTATTTGGATTATGAGCTTGAATTTGTCGTATAAATGCCGGTCAAAATTGCTATTAATTTCGAAAAATGACAAGACATAAGAAAGAAAATTTATGGAAATTGTAACATTCTATTTTGACTATGGCATTAAATTAAATTGAATAAAATTAAATGAATAGCAATTCAGCGACTGCATGAAGTCAGAACTGGAAATGACAACAGATGTAAATTCGAATTGAATTTCGAGTTGATGAACAACAGTATCACAAATGTGACATTTCAGTTTTCTCTTTCAATCGTTCTCTTGTTGATTGCAAACGGTTGCATCTTTTCAGCCAATTTACTATTTATGACAAACAGTAAACTCAGTTTTACTGACACGAAACGCGCACGAGTGATGTGGCACTGCACACGACACATAAGTGAAGCAAATCTTCAACTGCATTGCAACTCAACGCGAGAAGATTTATATGTTCAGGCGAAATATTTTTAGAAATATTTTATCTTAATTTTCATGAGTGTGTGTCTCAACAGCAACTTTTGTGATTGTGTGAGCGTTCCAGTTTATTTGGGGAGAAAATGTGAGTAACGTGAATATAAGAAACACACGAAAAAATAAAAAAATGTTTATGTGCTGAAATATCGGTATCAAATCAAATAAGACTTGAATCGTTGGCGCAATCAAGTTGATTTAAGTGAAAAATACAATTTCGCTACTCTAATTTTCATTGCATTTTTCATTAGAATTTCTACACTAGCAATTTTCAGCACTTATCAAGGTTGTTATAGTATATCGTCAACGGTTCAGATTAATCTTCTGAATCAGTAAACTTGTCGTCAACACGTTCTACAAACACACTTATTTTCATTTACAGATAAAAAAATGTCATTCAAGCTCGTATTATGGGAGAAAAATCAAAGTTTTATCTAAATATGTTTCTTTCTCGGTCCATTTAATGTTCTCGAATGCTTTATTTATCACTAAAACTGTTATGAAAACACACGACTCACGTTGAGAGAATTTCAGTTCAGAACAAAATCGTAAATTTTTAGCGTCGGAAAATTAAAGGGTGATCATTATATTTTAAAAGTTTAGTATACGAAGAATCAAAACGATCATTAAAATTAAAACGATCTGTAAATTGACATTAATCACCTACGTTTAGCATTATGGTGTAACACATTCCATACGTATTTCATTGCATTAAGATAACTCCCATTTTTAATGGAACCATTTGCGAGGAGAATTTTTAAAATATTTTTCCACGCATTTGGCTCGATTGTGATTCATTTGGTCAAGTTTTGAAACTTCTGCTGTCATGAAAAATGCATTTAAAGCATGTTATTTGTTTATACAAGCGAACGGAGGAGGAGTATAAATCTACCAGTTTTAGTAAAAATAGATTCGAACGAAAAATCTTAGTTTGGGTATTTTTGCCGTTTGTAATTTTAATAACGTCCCAAAGTGTGAACTAATGGCCTAGAATAATAATTCAAATGCGCATAGAAGGCAAAATTCGGGCTTAAAATAAAAACTAAAACGAATGGCAAGGCAAAAGGGAGCAGGAATGTATACTTTGCCAAAGCAAGAAAAAAACTACGAATATCAAAAAGCAAATGGGTTAAAGTGACGAAAAGAATAAAATAAACAAGCAAATAATAAGAATATTCACCTTAATGGAAAGTTAAATGGATATTTTATATAGGAGATTTACATTAAGAACATTTTATGTGTAGAAAAAGAAAACGAGTAAAATAAATGTGTGTGACTTGAGAATTTGTATGTGTATGTAGATGAATGCACTTAGCACAGGTTTGAAAAATATAAATAAATAATAAAACTCTCGGCATATGAGAATAAAACTGCACATAAAAATCTGTCCGTGTATGATGACGCTGCATTATCGTTGCTTGATATTAGAGACGGAATTCGGGACTTTAATCAATAATAATAATGAGTATTTTATGTGTTTGGGTGTATATGGAAGAGAGAAGTAAGAAAAAAGACGTAAATGGACATGTCAAAGAAGAGAGAGAGCCGATTTTATTTTTGTTATGTGATTAATTGACGAAGATCAGCCGAAATGGAATTGAGTGCATTGAAAATATGACGGCAATTAAAAAATTTATTGTGCAATAAGTGCCTCAATGATATGCAAATGCATTGAAAGAAGAAACTAATTCAGAGAATACAAATCAATGTCAAATTACCAGAACGATAAGCATTTGTAACCAATTTTCAGACGAAGTTTTTAAATATTTCATACTTAATTCGTATTCTGCGTTAATCATTCTTCAGGCATTTGTATCTTTATTCGAAGTGCCTTATTTAAACTGATTTTTTAAGTTATACTATCGGTTTCATATTAAATTTTATTTGTCGATTAAACGCCATTATTTAAAAATGGACAATGCTTACTCATTAAATGAAAAAATATTTGTATGGGAAAATATGCATTCACTACGATTAAGCTGCGAATTGTGGATGATAACCGCATTTCGATCTCATAAAACTTGGGAAATGAGAAATGAAAATTAAGTGAAAATCATCGTTCAAATAGAACATTTTTCCATATGTCATAAAGCACATACTCAGGTTGCGTAATTTGTGTTTGTGCTATTTTGGTTTGAGTGTGCAGTTCGCGTTTCAATTTCGATGTTTGCTCTTCATCAATGACACGACTAATATGCGAACCCTGCATCAACGCTATAATTTAGAAGTTAAACATGCGGAAACAATTCTCCAATTCGTGTGTATGCATCAAATAGAATGATTTTTTTTCTATTTGTAGGACTGATGCGGTTGGCAGACATTAGCAATGACAACAACAAAAAATCTCATGACGAAGAAAGTTTTCTCAAACAGCGAACATCAGAACGTGAACTGCAGCTGTAATTTTTTGGTAAAATGCACATGTCGTCGCAAATTCTCCATTCGAATTCATACGCGAGGAAAATTCATAGTTATACGAATGAGTCAAGCTTCAGAGGGGCTCCCGCATTTGCAGCATACACTGTTGGGAGTAGGAGTGTGCAGTTTTGAGTAAATTGTGGATACATCTAACGAACCGTAAATACAGCGCTTTCATTTAACTACCGTATTTTCGGGACTCGACTATTTTTTTCTTCTCCTCTTCTTCTTCTTCTTCATTTTCTTTTCACTTGTATGTCGTTTTGTGTGTTTTTTTCTTCTTCATGGTTTATCCACTTTTCAATGCTAAGCTGCATATAAAGAGACACGCTGCTTCTTATAGTATTTTACCAAATAGATGCAGTAGCTTGTTATTTTGGCCACAAGCCGATTTTCACGATGCAGAGAAAAATCACACGTTCTTTTACATCTCGTCGCGAAAATAAACTCGAACGGTAAACAACGTACGTAAAATTTATTGTACAACCGCTGAATTGCCACGTGGCAGCAAAAAAGTCCAACTACTAAATATTTCTTTGGAAACGGTTTCATGGGAAATGCATAAACACTGAATAGAGCTGTTCACAGAATTTGGCGTGAGTTCTCTTTTTTTTCACCATTCTTGCTCAATCGAAAATGTGAGAAAGCGCATATGGGCTTGTTGAAAACATCCGTCGCTTGCAATTTCACCGAACGACACAGTGAACGATAAATACGATAAGTTGCTTTGAATTTTACGTGAAATGCACAATGCTCGCGCACATACATATATGAAAATCGTTACAAATTTTACATATTCAAATTTGTTGCACTCAAAAAGCCGAATTCAAAATGTGTACTTTATTTCATTCCTGCTCACAGTGCACTCGGTGTAATGCACAAAAAGGTAACAATGGTTTTTGTTGCAAGTCTCTCTATTCACCTCGATTGATACTACAAAGACGCATTTGGTTAACATGATTATTCAAATGATTCGCTCGAAAAGAAAAAGTAATCAAGCCTGAGTGCTGCATTACTAAAATGATGCAAGAATTATTTTTCGAGACGGATTCGACAGAACTTGCACATACATAACAAAAAAAATAATCATGTGGCCATTTGAGCTCCGGAGCAGAACAAGGAAATTGTTATGCTATATTGATATAAACATTGTCAGTGTGTGTCTCTTTCTCATGCTTGAAAGCAACCACAAAATGAAGGCAAGAATAAATGGAATAGAAAATGGTCATTCAACCGACAAAACATATGCACCAATTAAACAAATCATCATCATAAAAAACGACAACAACAACTGTTAATGTCATAGTAACC